TACGTCATGCACGTAATGTGGAAGACAGCCAGGCGGAGACCGACGTATTTAAACCAACGTCGGCACCGTTTCGCCAAGGGAAACAAAGTTCATCGCGTTATGTACAGCCGTCGCCATCGACGTCGACGTGTTATAAAGAGACTGTCGCGAAATGTGAGCCCATTAAAAATAGTGAAAAGTTAAACGTACAAAAAAGTGAAATAAAGTGTTACGGTTGCGGTGCCGCGAACGTTATCAAATCAAAGTGTACTAAGTGTAATCCGAACAAGTCATTTTACTCGGTCGAGTCGTCGCATCAAAAGCAGAACGCCGTAAGCGCGCCTTTCCGTTCGGTTCGCAGCTCGGCGTTATCAACTGATAACAGAGACGTATTGAGAGGTAACCCTACGCATGTCGCGGGGGATTTTCATTCTAACCCTTCGTCGGACTCTCGTCGAATAGATTATAATAATCATCGTATTATAAGCTTATGTTTTAATAGTAAAACATTATGTAATAATAAAAATGACGGTTCACAAACTTCTCTATTGCAAAATGTAAATGATTTTAGTGGTGATAATTCATTTCACAATTATTTAATTAATTCTATCAATAATAATTTTGACACAAAGTGTGTATGTTGTAAATTAGAAAATATTTGTTTAAAACAAAGTTATTATGTATATAATTCATGTATTAAACAAAGTTATGATTGTTTGAAAAATAATAATTGGCGTACTGAAATGTCATGTCATTTAATGTTGGATAGGTCAAATAATAATGATAACAGTGTACTGTCTGAGAATTTGGAACTTGATGATATAAGAAAATATAGAAAGAATGTTTGTTCAAATAATTTTAATGAGATTTCTTATGAATGTAATAATAATGAAATGTCTTGTAAAATGCCATTCCAACGTCCTGTTTTGAATATTTCTATTAAGGGTTATAATGGTACTGCATTGGTTGATTCAGCGGCTAGAACTTGTGTAGCAGGTCACACACTGCACGCACTCCTAAAACAAATAGGATGTAAATTAGTATTGTCAAAACAATATGTAAAATTGGCAGATGGTATTAGGAGAGAAATGGATGTACTTACCACGGAGGTGGATGTGACACTTGAACATAAGACAAATTGTGTACCATTTTTGATTTTTCCAGAGGCAGATAGTAATGAAAGCCTTTTAGGAATAGATTTCTTAACTATGTTTAATCTTGTATTTGATTTTGGTAATCACAGCTGGTATTTTACTGAAAATAAAGAAAAACAATTTGAAATGCTTTTTGAAAATGTGTCATCTCCATCTTTGTGTGCTGCAATAGATGTACTTCGGGATGATGAGGCAACTTCACTTAGCAAAGAGCAACGTGATGTTCTCGCTCGCGTCTTAATTGATAATATGGATATCTTTGAAGCAGGGGGAGGCCCAACTCCTTTTGCCGAGCATATAATAGATACTGGTGAGCATCGACCCATCGCAGTTCCGCCATATAGGTTGACGCCTGCCAAAAAGGAGGTTATGCGCGCTGAGGTAGAGAAGATGTTAGAAGATGATATTATTGAGGAGTGTGAATCTGCCTGGGGTTCACCTGCGTTGCTTGTACCTAAGTCTAATGGAAAGGTACGTTTCTGTGTCGATTACAGAAAGTTAAATGCGGTCACTAAGACCGATGTTTATCCTATGCCGTTAATAGATCAGCTTGTTCAGTCTACAAAGAAAAATTGTTTTATGAGTTCCATTGATATGCGGAGTAGCTACTGGCAGGTTTCTGTTCGGGAACAGGATCGAGACAAAACAGCGTTTCTAACGCCGTTCGGAACATATCGTTTTAAGAGAATGCCGTTCGGTTTAAAGAACGCACCTTCGACGTTCCAGCGTTTAGTAGATAGGCTGCGTTCTGGCGTTTCTTTGAAAAACGTCACCTTACTGGCTTACCAAGATGACATTTTAGTATTGAGTGAGGGTACTTTTGAAAAACATATGTCTGATTTACGTGCAGTCTTCGAGAGGTTGCGCTTATTTAAGCTTAGAGCGAATAGGGAAAAATGTGTCTTCGCACGAGATAAAATAAAATACCTTGGTCATATTATTTCACAGGATGGGATTTCACCTGATGAAGATAAAGTACGTGCAGTAGTAGAAATGAAACCACCATCATCGTTGCGTCATCTCAGAACATTTATCCAGACATGTTCCTGGTTTAGGAAATTTGTGCCGAATTTTTCTGCTGTCGCAGAGCCGCTAACACGCCTGTTAAAGAAAAATCAACCTTGGTATTGGGGACCAGATCAAACTAGCGCGTTCGAAGAGCTGAAGAGGCGTTTATCGTCGTCGCCTATACTGGTTCAGGCTGATTATAAAAAACCGTTCATATTACGAACAGACGCTAGTAGTTATGCACTCGGTGCAGTTTTGTTACAGGGCGAAGAAAAAGACGAGCGGCCTATAGAGTACGCCAGCCGCCTTCTTACGCCTGCTGAAAGAAACTATAGCACAACCGAGCGCGAGGCGCTTGCGGTCGTGTGGGCTGTTGAACGTTTTAGAGGTTATATCGAGGGTCATGATATAATAGTAGGAAGTGACCATCAACCTTTAAAATGGTTACTTACCTTAAAGTCGCCGTCGGGTAGATTAGTCCGTTGGGCATTAAAGCTACAAGGCTTTAATATTCAGTTTCAGTACACGCCAGGGAAGGCAAACGTCGTTGCTGATGCGTTGAGTCGTCCTACCTGTGAAGAGAAAGATGAAAATCAGTGTGGAGTTTGTTCGGTCGTTGTAGACTTACCTGCTCGAAGTCCCGCCGATCTTCGTCGCATGCAGCTCGATGACCTGGAACTAAAGAAAATAATTGATGAATTAGAAGATATGTCAGATCCAAATTCTATAGGTGCAAAACGTTGGTCTGAACGGGGGTATTTTATTCAACAAGGTGTTTTATACAGATATAATCCTGATATTGATTGCGAGGATCCACAACTGGTGGTACCGTTATCATTACGTCATAATATAATAAAGGAGTGTCATGACTCTGAAATGGCTGGACACCATGGTGTTGAAAGGACTTATAATAAAGTTTTGCAAGGATTTTATTTTCCTGGTATGTATAAAGCGATAAAAGATTATGTGAAAACTTGCACTACTTGCCAGCGTTATAAAGCTTCAAACACAAAACCATCAGGTCTGTTACAGACACCAGTTCTGAGTCAAAGAGGAGAGGTTGTAGCTATTGATTTGTTTGGTCCGCTTCCAGCTGGAGACGAGGGGGAGCGATGGATTTTGCTCATCGAAGATATAGCAACTCGTTGGGTAGAACTCTACCCACTAAAAGAAGCCACTTCAGAAGCATGTGCTCGTATGTTGATTGAAGAATATTTTCTTCGTTATGGTCTTCCACGCCGTGTTGTGTCGGACAATGGTGTGCAATTTGTGTCTGCAGTAATGCAACAATGTATGTTCGTTTTAGGAATAACACAGGAGCTGACACCACTTTATCATCCATCGGCAAATCCTGCTGAAAGGAAAAATCGCGATATGAAATTTCAATTGTCTCGCTTGGTAGAGTCCAATCATTCGTCATGGCCTCAACATTTGCCAATCGTCAGGTTTATAATGAACTCTGCTGTTTGTCAAAGTACTGGTGTTACTCCGGCATACATAATGTTTGGAAGAGAGCTTCGTACTCCAGTTGATGTCCAACATGATATTAGAGCTATCTTAAGCAAGGATAATTTCGTTCCACAGATTACACCTTATTTAAAGAAATTTGTTGATTCACTTATTTCAGTAAAAGAACGTGTTGAATCACAACAGGATAATCGTAAAGAGTACAGTGATAAGTCTCGGACTCCAGCTGAAGTCTTTAACGTTGGAGATCAAGTGTTATTAAAATCTCATGTGTTAAGTAATGCTGCTAAAAATGTCACTAGTAAATTCATACCTAAAAGAGATGGTCCCTATGTTGTAGTCGGGAGAGCTAGCCCTACTGCATATATCATAGGTAACTTAGAAAATCCTGAGGAAGTGTTAGGGAAATTCCACGTGTCTGAACTTACCCGTTTTTATAATCGTGAAGATTGTAATAATACGCCTCCTCGTCCCGTTGTGCAAAAACGCAATAGAGGTCGCCCTCGTAAACATGTTTGTCTGGCTTGTTCTGTTTGTAATCAAGTTTTACAATTTCGTTAATATTGATTTTTTTTTGTTTCGTTTTTTTGTTTCTTAATCTTTGCGAGTTAACGGACGAGGACATACCCGTTAACTCGAGGGGGAGTGTGTAGCGTGAGACCGCCCTTACATAAATATTGTCTGTGCACATCCCTTAACTAACCGGTGTTAACCAGTACATACCTACCACGCCCGGCCTGCGTAGCCGTCGGTCGTCCATGCGCCCGCCATTTTAGTTAGTGCGAGCCGGAGCGCATTCGAGTGAGCACGTATCACTTTGATATAAATTTATATACCTAAATGTGTGTAAACGGCGTTTTACAAATTAATAAAACTTGTGATTGTGCCTCGGTGTTTCAACAAGCCACCTACTACGCCCACCCCATTCAGCTCCCGCCGAGCTAAAAATATAAATTATATCACAGTTCTTCATCTCGGTAAATTACAAAATTAGTGCACAATTTAAAATATTAGGGTCAATATAGATTTATTAACAACTTAATAGTTAATAAATTTATCCTAACCCTAAAATTTTAAGGTCTGTCTGGTGGTAATGAAGGGTAACAGATTTTTCTACTTGGGTAAACTTACAGAAAAATATATAAAAAGCATTACGGTTATTATAGTAATGTAGCTGTTTTTAATGAAACTACTACGTTTAGCAAAAACGTTTCTGAACGTAAAATGGTATTTTAATTCTGTCTGTTGTGTTGGCAGCAGTGCTGAATTGCTCAACCACGGCGGACGAGGCAGCGAGTGCTGAATTTGTCTCCGTTTGATTAAATAGTAAACTAAAAGTTATACAGTAACTTGTGTGAGAAAAGTTGTGAATATTTATAAGTGTTAAATTTTTTGTTCACCGACAATAATTGAGTCGTTATTTCTTTAAAAGTGCTTTGTGAAATCCTAATTTGTGGTGCAACAGTTAAAACTTTACAATGAATAACGCCTCAAGGATTCCCAAAACTACGCCAATAACAGAAGATTACGATATTTCTAATACGGTCCTTGGCCTTGGAATCAATGGAAAGGTAAGAATAAGCAAATACTTTTAAAAAACGTCTTTTATACCGAAGAAAAAGCGGAACCCGAATCTTGTTTACACTGACGTCAGTTTTAATATTAGCATCTTCGTTTACGTTTTTTACGTTGCTTCCTCGTGTATATGATGACAATACATTCGTATCTTGGAATAAGTAATTAGTCACTATTATATAATTGGAATTTTTCAAATTTTCTAATAACCCAATTTTTCGATTACGACTTTTTACGAAATATGTCTAACACTTAAGTTAATTTAGCTAATTGTAAGATAAGAAAACATAGATACATAGAAATTTGTATTTTTTTAATATGGGTTAATAATTTAAAAATAGATACCTACCTTAACAAAAGTTTGGATGCAATTATTAATTTTAGTAAACTCTTGCAGCTGTATGGTTGCAAAACTTGGCGAATTAAAAAAATGTTTTGAGGTTCCAAATTCAAATTTTACTCTGACCAATGTTAAAATAAAAAAATGGTAGATGTTTGTTTTCTTTTCATAGGTAGTATAGTTTTCATAGTCCATGCTTTGAGTGGTTACTGTAGGTACAATGTAATAATATTGATTAAATGCAAGTCATTATACATTAACAAATATTTAAAATGACTCAAAGGAAAAGGTAGTTGAGAAAAAAATTGTGAAATCAGACTTACTGACATTGATGATTGATAAGGATACAGAATGTACAAAATAAATAAAAATAAAATTTCTATCTCCTCAATGATTTCTGCACCTATTTGAATTTTGAAGTCAGCAAAGCCTCGTGAATACACATTCACATCCACATCAGCAGCATATCTAATTGATAGAACTAATAAAATCAATTGACACTCAATTTCAAACATAATTTGTTTTATTTTGATAAGCTTGCCCATCTATATTTTTATAGTGTATTTTTTATAAAGAATATTTCACTGCCATAGCTTTGAATGAAAGTCGAAATGTTGAAAATCTTTGTGCGTTGAACATAACACTTTACTGTATATCTGATCAAATAGAGGAAAAATCACAATAAAAACAGAATTACTGGGGTGCCCACATTCTGGAAAATCAGGGAAAGGCCAGGAAAGTAAAAGATGGTCAGCGAAAGTTAGGGAAACATTTTAGGTCCTATCACTATTGATAGTGGTTAAAAAGTCATAGTGACTAATCACTGTTAGCAACAGACTCCAACTACACGTTTATTCCTTCCAATAAATCAAGAAAACTGAAAACTTACACTAGAAACAAAAATTTTTTGGAACTAATTGAATTGCATTGCGACTTTCCGCCAAAAACTTTTTTGTCCGAAGATGTTAATAGGGGGTAAAAAGTCGGACGAAAACTGGGCAGCATGTGAACGAAAACTAGATTTATATTGACAAACACCAGTGAAATCGGTAACTATCATGTTAAAAATAAAATAAAAACCTACTAATGTCACTATTGAAAACTATACAATTATTATAATTAAACTATATTTGGAGAAGTTTTTGGGGACTTATTACTCTGCGGCACACTCATATTTTTGTGCTCAAAGTTGGCAACTCCACTAAATGCCGAAAACAGGCTTATCATTGCTTACCATCAGGTGATCTGTGGTCAAGTGCTTGCCTATCTAGAATAAAAAATAAAAAAAATCTACCCTACTTTTTACTTACAAAAATATCCAATTCAAAGTTATGTTTAAGAATTGACTTTTATCTATTATTGTGATATTACACAAATTAAAACAATAAGATATTTTATTGTTGGGTACTTGCCAAGGAAAACTGGCTCGTACATACAATATTTAAATCAAAATAAATAAATGAAAAGATAATGGCACCACAACATTAAATAGAATTTGTACCCCATTTAAGAAAGACATTAAATAATAAAAAAAAAACTGACTATAGTTTTTATGAGTAAGACTACCCCTTCCTTTTTAGAGACAGCAGTATCTAATCTTATACCTTTAAACAAACATTACTTGTAACATATGTATTTAATATCATTGAACAGCTCCAATGATAAATCGATCGAGCTAGAATTCATTCACCAAAAATTCAAGCAGAGCTTGATCATTAAACATAGCTATGTCTTAAATGATTAATGAAATTAAATTTTAATATTGATAATAAATTACATTTTCATAATAGCAATAAAGTATGGTTCTGTATACCAAACATTCCTTTTCAGTAACAACATAATGAAATCATTGAATATTGTATTTATAATAATGTAAGTTGAAATATTATGGGAACCTTTTATATAACATTCACCGTCGATTACAAAACAAAGTGATCGTTCATCGATTATTGAATAGGGATGATGACTAATTTAGGTTTGTCTGTCTGTTGGGTAGATTATTCAAGAATATTAAATGCAGATTTTTTTTATTTTTTGCATAATCAATAAATTACGGCGATATGTTAACTAGAAATGTCGCGTTATGTCACATATTTTCTTTATACTTTTTAGTCTTTGGATATTTTCTACATACTTAGTTGTGACGTACCTAGCCCCCACTCCTCAACTTTAATGCTATTATCTATGCTATTAGAACAGCAAACGGTGGACTTAATGCCAAGGGCATTTTCTAACAGTCTTTCAACAGTGAGTTATCATTTAAAAGTTTGAATTTTGAAGAGGATAACTCAGAATTTAGGAAAATTTGTAATTTTCATTTGTTTTTCTTACTGTTAAAATCAGTGAATCTATTGCATAAATTCGATACATTTTAAATTTTTATTACAACGAAAGGTAAAAATGCAACCCAATCCGCGATAAAAATTTGTGACGTTTATGGACCTAGTGCCGTTTCTGTGAGTGTAGCACAAGTTTGGTAAAAACGTTTGCAGTCTGGAAAATTTTGACGTCCATGTTGCACGACGCTCCGGTCACCCTGTTACAGAGAAAATGGATGCCATTTTTGTAAAAGTGGATTAAGATTTGGCTTACGATGTAGCTGAAAAACTGGGGATTTACCACAAAACAGTTTTGGCGCATTTGAAAAAAGCTGGGTACACAAAAAGTTGAAAATTGACTTACTTCACGAGTTCACTGAAAAAAACCCTATGAAACGTGTACTCATTTGTGATTCTTTATTAGAGCGTAATGAAACCGAGATTAAAGCAAGAATTTAAGAGAAAGTGGCCAGCATTAATCAATAGAAGGGGTGTGGTTTTTCATCGTGATAACACTAGGCTTAATGCATCCGCCGTATACTCCTGACCTTGCGCCTTCAGATTTCCAATTGTTTCGGTCTCTTCACAATTCTTTAGGCAGTGTCAGGTTAACATTACGCGAAGACTGCTAAAACCATTTGTCGCGTTTTTTTTTGTCAGAAGCCCCAAAATTTCTGTAGCAATGGGTTCATGTCCCTACCTACAAGATGGCAAAAAGTTATCGAACAAAATGTTACCTATGTAGGTACCATTTAATTAAATGTAATTAAACTTTATTAAAAAATGTTTTGAATTTTCATATAAAATTGCGAATCCTTTTCCCACGACCTAATAATAATGGTGTTTTTCCATATCGAGGCACTCTTATCAAAATATATGCTATCATTTAATTTATTTTTACTTTACTTAGTACACAAATATAATTTCTACATTAATAATTAGGTTCATCGGTGAAGATAATTTCTATTTTGCAATGTAATCAAACTTGTGGCAATAGTGTCTGTGTTATCAGGTTTGCATGATAACTAGACCAAGAGATAATTTATAATATATGTATAATAGGAATGGAATCATAAAAAGTAGATGTAGTACATAAAATACACAGATGACAGAGTTTATAACTGTTGTAATCTAAGGGTAACAATATTACAAGTTTTCCACTGGGAAACCCCACTAGGTTCGCCCACGTGACGCACACGATTTTCTTCTATACAAATTTTCAAACCCTGTTTAATTCCCTTATGAGTTTCTGAATTTCTGAATTCGCTCAAACAATTATTCATTAATTTTTAATCAGTAGGTCAAAAAAATTTCATGTTTATAACGTTAAAAATGACATTTCATACAAACACAACCTCTAAGGGGTTGAAATAACGCTCGAGGATGATAAAATCACGATAAGACAACTTATTAAGCGTAGATAACCCTCCTACCCTCCAATCCGCATTGGGCCAGCGTGGAGGGTCATGGCCCATCCTCCTTAACCATCCATAAGGAAGGCCTGAGCCCCTGCAGTGGGGACGTAAAAGGGCTGGTGATGATGATGAAGTTCTTATCAATAGCACTGATAAGAAAAGAACATCTGTATGTTCAGTTATGATTCGATCTGAGGAGGACATAGAAAGTTGTATTTTTAATTTTGTATTATCACAAAAAAATTGTATTTTCGATTGTAACTATTGACATACTTGTTTCTTATTTTATTGGAATCAATGAATCGGTAATATTTCAAAGTAAAATGATGGGTATAATTCGTTAATAAACACAAATAAGATTAAATTTTAATCTAGTTTAAGGCTCCGTGTAAATTGATTACAAACAAAATTTAGAGCTACTGACTTAGCATGATCACCAAATAGATGTATCATACTTAATTCGGCAAATAAATTATATAAATCTATTTGTATCCGCAGTTTAATTCTAATTTCCTGTTGTATCCTCTTATCTATAGAGTAAATGTGACCAAATTCTGTTAATACACAACTGCGTCTATTTAATATACAAGGAAAATATTATTATACGCTGGGAAAATACTCTTTAATTAGATAAATTAATTAATCACTGTATCATTGTTTGCCGTTCACTTGCCGTGGCATATTTGACAATGTAAATTTATTGACGTGGCAATGTTTTAATAACCTCTATAGATAATTAACAGTGAAGAGAAAACTGAATAGACTTAAAGCTAGTAACTAAAATGAGCAAGAGCTTTTCTTAAGCTTAATAATGCAGTATCTCGAAGCACTAAAAGCGTGTGAGTATTTTTTAATAAACCAACTCATAATAACTTAGAAATGAGCAGTGGTAGGAATTAGGTAGAGTTATTCATGTACTAACA